GAAACTCAGCAAGTTTTACCCTCCCTCTACGTTACAATTATTCAAAGGAAAATATCATAAACCACAACGTCATTAAAGTTACATAAGTAAAAAAAAATTTAGTCTGTTCTGAGTAATGTAATATAATATAATAAATATTAAAAAAACCTACCTATTATTATGCTATAACTAATACAACAAGAAACTTATGAATTCTGCCGGTGTACAAAGAACTAGGTCTCCATAAAAATCTTATTAATTACATATATCGCTCGCGTGCGGCTCCTTGCTAAGTTGGTTTGTGCGGTACATCCAACAGTCGTGACTTCCGCCTCAGATTATTGTTGCTCTCACGCATCACACATGTTGCAAGGAGGACAATCAGATACTTATATAGTTTTAGAAAAGATATATTATATACACGTGTAAAAACTACATGTGAACTTAAGAAGTCACAGCGCTAACCAGATCCATGTTCCTCACAAATTACAATCGAGTAGGCCGCAATATGGCAGCACACAACTCACGCGGGGATTCTTTGTATTGAAGAAGTCGCATGGGTCCGCGTTTATACACTGTAAATACATAATTTTGTAGGAATAAAGAGAATAATAATAATTAACATTCATCACAATTGTATTGTAAATGCGACACAATCATCAAATATAGGACCATTCTTACGTCGACTCCGTAGACCAATCTCTCCACTATGCACCGGATTCGATATAATCCTAAATATGTATACTGATACCAGCCCTCTTCTGAGGCGTACGTCATAACACACCATACTCAGAACAATTAGGGTCGGGTACATATGTGGATACAAAGGATTCAGTCTGACTATAATGTATTATGTCCTCGCTCTAACATGAGCCTGTATTTAGCTTCATATAGGGCTTGCACCATTGCTTTGCACTCCAAGGGACTTTTTTATATTTTCCGAGCGGTATTGGCTTCAGCGTGCGACTCTCATATCAAAAGCCGTAGGTTCGAACTGACTTGGACTTCGAAATGGACTTTTTGTCTGTGTGTTTAACACTCGTACGGTAAAAAAAACATCGCGAAGAACCAGCATTAGACGCAAAAAGTCTATGGTGTGCGAGGCTCAGAAGGATGATCACCTACTTCTATTAAAAAACAAATTATGACGAAACACAAACAGAAAATTGCGGCCCAGATCTAGAAGATTTTATCGTTATATAATATATTTATGGATAATAATTCAAGATAGCAAATCTGTGATTATTTGATATAAATCGGTCATCGGTTTACAAAGTAAGAGTGCGGAATTAAAAATTAAAATTTGATCAAAAAGTTAATAAAACATGATTTTTTGTAGGTAATTTAACATTCCGAAACTCTCCTCTGCCTATTTAAAGGTATATTACAAGAGCAAAATTGTAAAAGGCAGCAATTCCTAAACGGAGGTTTGGTTTGATATTTCCTAAGAATATTTAGACAACATTGTTATAACCCAGAAATCCCATACCTACTTACATTGTTAATGAGAAATGGAAACGCTTTTGTCAAGTTGATATTTGGTGATTTTTTAATTGTTTTGTTATCACTATAATGTCATTCACACTTACTTGTCTGTTGATGCGTTAGTGTTGTTCTTGCTTATTTAATTGCAGTTTGTTACAATTTTCTTGTACATTAAAAACTTCTCTCCCGGTCTAGGCTCTCGATTTGGGAATTGGTAGTAAATGTAAATTTAGATCTACTTTCTTAAATATTGACATTTATAATAATAATAAAAAAATTATTTCAGATACTTTACACTTAAACAAATTTAAATTCCTATCATCTCATTCTTTAAGATATCAGTGTGCCCTTTTTGGCAAAAGCCTCCTTCAAACCTCGCCATTCCTGCACGGTGCCACTCTTTTCCATGTACCACCTGCTGTTTCCTTAATCTGATCTATTCAAAATTTAAATTGTCTTCCATTTTTGAGTTTATTGTACCTTGGGCACCAGTTTAATACTATCTTGCTCCACTTTTTGTTGTTCACCTTATTGATGTATTGTTTATTTTTATCTTTCTTTTCTTCCTTATCATTCATCGTTCCATCGATCTGTGACACACATGTATGTAAAGCATACATGTGTGTCCCAAATTGAGACATTCATAAGTGTACACAATATTGAGAAATAAAATGTTGTTTTGATTTATATATTTTTGTTAATTTGTAATTATTAATAAAACAACATGGCACTATATTTTACCTTAATTTCTGCAATTTTTACTTTTAGGTACGGGCAGCGGTGGAGAAAGTATATGGGGTGGCGAATTTGCGGATGAATTCAAGGCAACACTGAAACATGACCGGCCATACACAGTCAGTATGGCCAATGCAGGGCCCAATACGAATGGGAGCCAGTTCTTCGTTACTTTGGCGCCTACTGTATGTATTATGTATAAAATAAACTTATATTATACATTCAGAAACGCGTGGATACCTCACAAACTACTGAACCTATAATGATAAAAAGATATCTATATGCCTTTTTTCTGAGAAATTTGTGAACAAACATACATATTATTGTATGTCACATACATATAGGTCTTATTACTAACCTCCTTTTTTGAAGTTGGTTTATAATTAACTCTAATATCAGTCCAAATCAACGCCACACACACTGTAAATCACAAAATTTTATCATTAACTACACAATATGTTGAATATCAATTTGTAAAATTGGCCTAACGATTTGCGTCCCATACTTTTAGTACTTTTAGTACCTACCCATACTGCAAATATTAGGTAAAATTAATAATTACTCATTTTATTCAAATTAAGTGCACTTTTTTTAAAAGTAAAAAGAAAAAATTTGAAAACCTAGTAAAACTTTAATATTTTTTCCACAGCCATGGTTAGATAACAAACACACAATATTTGGCAGAGTGATTCGCGGTATGGAAGTCGTTCAGAACATCGGCAGTGTCAAAACAAACCCAAAAACTGATAAGCCTTATGATGACGTAAGAGTAATCTCTGTAACTGTAAAATAAAATAATTTATGTAATTAAAAATATTTTTTTGTAAATTTCGTTTTATTATTCGAAACTAGACATATAAGTAAGGTCCCAATATAACCTTGATTACTACAGGTTTGGAAAAAGCTGGAGGAGGCTTTTACCCGAGAAGGTGTTCCGATCAATGGTACTAAAGGATATATAGTAAATAAAAACGCAATGCAAATAAACGTGCTTTATTATTTTAAGCCTCAGTTTTGTATTTATATATATTCAAACTCAAAATAACTTTATTCATATAGGTAACCAAGTACACTTATGAACGTCCACAGAAATGATATTATATTTGATTCTAAATTTACATTTACTACTAGTTCGCAAGTCAAGGGCGTAGAGCAGACAAGAAAATGTAATTGTATTATCTGGAGAGTTATATAATTTATATAACTCTCCATAATATTTCGATTATCATGAGTGTCATTTGGAACTACGCTACGATGAGCGATGTATCACATTGAATTAATTAATTAAGCGTTGTGTACGAATCGATTTCTCAATACTGCGTAATGGCTGTAGTTTATAATGAAATATATTTTCATTAAAATTTAGGAATTTGATCTAATAATTATTTAGGCAACTTATGTAGGTCAAACAAATTATGTCGGATTTGCTGTTCATTTTCAAGTTGACATTTTCAATATCAGTATTTATATTGGCTTCTTGAAGAACACGATACAAAAAATCTAAATTTAAAATATGTTTCAACTCCATCTAGTAGTGAGTAGACTATGAGATTTTTCTGCTTCCCGCTAGGTAACGCTTAAATAAATACTATTTAAAATGTGGATTTAATATTTAGTAAATAGGGGGCGTAATTCTGTTTTGTTAGTTATTTTCGTTGGCTCTGTATATCAAAATTAAGCGTAATAATTAAAAACTATTGGCACTTGGCAGTCTCCGATTAAATTGCCAGAAATAAGTTATAACTAACTTAACTGTTGACGTTCTCTGTTCGACGAACTCTGTTGACGAGGGTTTCTAGCCTAATTTTTCTAAACTATTGTGTATTATTTATTATTTTTTTATTAGAAGTCCGATCTTGTACGCAATAAACAGAATGGAAATTATAATTTATTAGAATTACCAAAAAACTAGAAAAAAATATTCAAGGGCAACATACAATAACAAACGGCTTTATACTGAAAATTTGATGTGCATTATTTTATTTTCCTCATTGCTGGAGTTTATCTGTTGGAGCGGGAAAGTGTATTGTCGTCTCACTCTCGCCCATGTAGACCCCCGTTCCCCGCACCCCGCTTGCGTTTATTTCCCGCCGCCCGACAGTTTGGCGCGGCTACCCCGCCTCCGCTTCGCTTCATATGATTACGTTTCCATTGTACACTACGAATTACCATTGTAATATTCATATGTTTTATATTCTAGGTATCTTATTTAATACGTCATTGAAAAGGGTGGTTTCTTTTTAATTTATAAGAAGATCCTTAAAAAAACATTGCATAACACCTCTTTTAAGGTAATATGATTTATTTTACTATAAATTCAAGTGTTGTAGATTTGAAGAACGATTTATAAAAGTTTCCTACATTTTGTATATGTAGTCCAAGATAATCTTAGTAAACGATTATTTCTTAGTATATGTAATATACGAATATTACTTATTACTACCAAATTAATTTTGTAAATCATTATCGCAAGTATAATGGAAAAGGTGCCGTTGATTCTCGGTAATCGCACCAAGTCGTAAACAGCCCGCTGTGGCCTCGCGCTTCGTACGATCCACGTCCCCGCCAATAGCGAACAAGTAGTGCGTCATGTCACGTCATATTCCACCAATCGTTGCTCGAGTAGATCACGCTAATGCTAAAAATAGCTTATCTGAGTCATGGAATAAAAGCAGTGGTTGTTTCTTGACAATGTTTAGAAACAAGTGAAACGTCGAGCGTACTGCACGTACGCTCTCGGATGGTAAAGTTTTATTCGTGTTAAGTGAGTTTAGTGATACCGAGGTATTCGGTGCTAACACATGGTTCGTTCCGGCCACGGGATGGAGACCACTTTCTATGACGAGCAGTATCCCCTCAGCGGACCCGTTGAAAATCTTAAGAGATCACTCACGCTGGATCTGGATTTCGGACGAGGCAAGCGGTTGAGGAATGGGGCACCTGTGCTATCCTCTCCCGACTTGCAGCTCTTAAAACTGGGATCGCCGGAGCTGGAGAAGCTGATCATGCAGAATGGCATGATCACGACGGCCACGCCAACCCCGGGCGGGCCAGTACTGTTTCCCCCCCGCGGCCCCCACCGAAGAGCAGGAGATGTATGCGCGGCCATTCGTCGAAGCGCTCGACAAGCTGCACCACAACGAACCCGCGCCCAACGCGAGGATTATTTACGCCGATCTAGATCGCCCTCTTGACCGGTATCCCACGCCCGTCGTCAAAGACGAGCCCCAGACGGTGCCCAGCGCCGCCAACTCTCCCCCTCTCTCCCCCCATCGATATGGACACCCAGGAGAGAATAAAGCTGGAACGCAAGAGACAGAGGAACCGAGTCGCCGCGTCAAAGTGTAGACGGCGAAAACTAGAACGCATTTCAAAGCTGGAAGAAAAAGTGAAATTACTGAAGGGGGAAAACGTGGAGCTAGCGCAGATGGTAGTGAAGCTGAAGGACCACGTCTCGAGGCTGAAGCAGCAGGTGCTGGAGCACGCCAACGGCGGCTGCCACATCGACACGCACTTCTGAGCGCGCCCAGTCGCCCTCCCCCACATTCCATGCTAGTCGCGCCCGCTCGGACGCAGCATACAAAGCGATTTGTGATCTTAATTTAATCGTGTATTATATAGTTAACTCTAGTGTAAGGTGATTTAAGGTGTTGTGCAGAACCTCCGCTTGTTGAAAAGGATGTACTTAGCGAGTCACAAGTTTAGTTTCTTTTGTAAGTCGCAGTTTAATTTTCCTTGTATCAGTATTGCGTTCTCATTTAGAATAGTGTAGAAACTAGAAAGGATAATCATGCTACGTCATTGGACTGCGAACTGAGCGAGACTGCTGCGACGTTGCCGTTTCTACGTTTTGTTCTCCGTTTCGCGGTTTTAAGAATACAAATTGGGATTTTGGGATTTCCATTGTTGAGTTGCCTACCGAGTGACCTGACTGAAAGATTAATATTTTGTCCGCACGCTTTGCATACTAAGCAGATGCTCAAATTAACAAACAGAGAGGGGCTATTTGACAGAGCCGAAATGTCGTAGGTACGACAGAGACGGACATATGGTGGAGTCGGCAACGCCGTATGATAAAGTCACGAGCGGATGTTCTGCTAATTAAAATTCCGCCTGCGCCGCCCTCGCGGAATGGCGGCCATGTGTTCGGCAATCGGACGTTCCGAATCACGTTTTGTTGCACAAGGTTAACTTTTTCATCGGCAGATAGCGCTTCAGCGACTGATGAAACAGTTGATATGCTCGATAATTACACAAAAGCTCGTGTGAAAGACTGATCGTATGTGAGATCGTGCGAGTTGAGTTGTGAGATGTAGGAGTTGAAATGACCCGGTGCTCTTTAGAGGTCTTAATGAGGCCGTCCGATTATGTGTGACGTATGAATGTTGAATGCTAGATGAAGCAGATGGTTGTTTTGCGTGGATGAGCGATGTATTTATTAGTGAGAATGAATAATATTAGGATCAAGTAGCAATCTCGAGTGCCTACGCTTTTAAACGGAAGCCTTTAATTATACGTTTTTATTGTTTTTGTTACCATTAAATGAGCTACAGTAAAAATTATCTGTACCATTGTCTTCTATAGGTTACTATAAGTAAATATACCAACTAACAGTTGATTGTTATTATATATTATATCGGGGTGCCAGCCGGTCAATGTTGTTTAATATATTTGTGAGAATCACGATAGTCCCCGGCGGGCGAACCCTTTTGTATTATTTTTATACAGAAAGATTTCAGAATGTTAACAATAATTTGTAAGTTTATAAATAAAAGAACAGTTATAACTTAAATAATATATTTCTATGAATGTAACAAATTAAGTATATTGTTTTATACTGAAAACATATTGTATGACGATGAAGAATGGAGAAGAATAAATTATGAAGATTATTATACCATTTTATATTTTCTTTTATTTACCCAATTTATGACACATTCGTATGCTTTTATTTATAATAATGAAATATGGGCATAAATATTTCACGACAAATATTGGGTTACATTTCGGTTACTTGAGATTCCTATTTTTTAACGTTATGGCGTAAAAAAGAAAGTGGCAGACATAAGTCTGTGCCAACTGACATTGAATTAAAAATATTCACAATTGCATCATAATGTGTAACTCGGTCTGAACTCTGAATGAATTGGCAAAAATACAATGTTGATAGACGCTGTCCGATTTTTAAATATTATAATACTTTACAAATGTTGAATATACAGTGAAGATTATTTATATTTTTTTTTCTTATCCTAATATCTATAAATTCCTTCAGTATCATTTTTGTAGTTGTCAAATGAATAAACACATTTTTATTTTTTACCATTAATCGAAACCCCTCACGAGTCTACCCGTGCTACTACAGCCTTTTCCAAATATCTCTATCCATGTCTTTCTCCATTTGCTTCCTGCTAACGCTTCTGTATCTTCTATCCATCTTTTTTTAGGTCGCCCTTTTCCCGTTGACCCTTTTCATAAGTCTTTAAGTCCACCACTTTGCCACTTCTGTTTTCAAGCATAATTTAAGACGTCTATAACTTTCGTTATTATTTTTATTTATAAAACAAGTAAGTAGGCCAAATTAGTTTTAAGAACCGATAAGTAATGGGGAAAACAAATTAATTAATACAACAGCGTTTCAACACGCACATTGCAAGAATCAGCAATACCAAACGATATTAATTAGGCGTTTGATTAATGTTTTCATGGAATTTTCTGGATAAACACGGAAATTATTTGTTTACCTATTATAATTATTGAGGATAATTTGTTACACAATTCGTTGAGCTAACAAAACGAATTTTTCAAATAATAATTTTTCTGTTTGTCCGAGTTCACACACACTAATTGTTCCATCTTTACTATATAATTTCCTTTACCCTTATTAAATTCCATATTATAATTACATAATACCCGATCCCTGTTGCTTTGCAGTTTTTTACCGCTTTTGCAACATTTATTGCCCATGACTATCCAAAACAATTTATCAATTAGAACCAGTAGACTCTAAGATTAGGCAAAGAGGCCCCGAGTAATAATAGATAATAGTATAGATGTCTTCTACTTATTAAATAGCTTACTGTTTGTTGAACAAACTACTGCTCTCAGTCTGTGAATCTGTAGTTATATTGAAGAGTCCAAAATTCCAGCAAATTTTAATCTTTAGGCAAATCCTTTAGGCAGAGAAATTCAGTATAACATAAAGCAAGTGTGTCACGGATAACATAGATAAACATAACTATATATAACGAAGGTCGTTGATGTACTGTGGAGTGCCAAATCTGTCAGTTCCGGACATCCGAATACCAATGACTAATTAAATCTAACACGTTTTGTTTTTATTATAACTCCGATAGTCACGTACTGTTGAGTTTGTTTTATTGAATCTTCAGTATAAACAATAACAATTTGTAAGCAGTTTTTATTATTTTAAATAAATATCTAAGTCAAAGGTTAGTTCATTGTGTTTTTTTTATACATTTTAAACAGATTCTCTTGTATTATTCAAAAATTCAAAAATCATTTATTCACGTAGGTAACACAATGTACACTTGTGATTCGTCATTAAAGAAAAAAATATTCATGCTTCTAATTTTACATTTACTGCCAGTTCTCAAATCAAGGGCGTAGAACGGAAGAGAAGAACTGGCAATAAACTCTCCGCCACTCTTTTTAATCGCCATGTTTTTTTTTTTTTTACACAACGTTTGTAAGGAGCTGCAACCATTACGCCATGTTCCACATGACATTTTAAGTAATTAATAATAATAACATAAATAAAAACAAAGACTTGTCCCCTATCAGCAGGGGGCATGGTGAAATAGGAGCACGCACTTACATTCTCGTGGGAACAACACGCAAACACATAGTCGAAAACATCACCGCATACACGAATTCAAGTACGACCAGTCACCACAAGTAGCACCCGTTCACGAGTATGACGCATGGCCAGCCATCGGCCCCCTCGCCATATTTTAGGGAGAGAGACAACCCGACGCATGGACGCCGCCACAAGCAATGACATTTAAGCGAGCATGACGATCCTTGAAATGTGGACTTGGCTACATAAGAAAATAATAATAATACTGAAATAATTGATACCAATGGATCACGGTTTGTTCCCACTTTACATTAAAACAGTCGTGGATGTTGACGATCACCCCAGAGTCTGGAAATGCAGCCGAGAGATTCAGTCGTGTTACCTATAATATATACTGGAGCAACTCATATCCAAGCACTAGGATCGTTTGAATATTCATTTATATTATAATAAGCCTTAGCCAGCAGTTTTACTTTAATGTACGATTTAAATTTATTTATTGACAACGCTTGTATCTCACTAGGGATTTTGTTGAAAAAACGTATACAATTGCCTTGGAAAGAATTACTCGTTTTATGCAGCCTTCTGGTTGGTGCGCTAATTTTGTCTTTATTACGAGTACTATAATTATGGAAGCTACTATTCTTTTTAAAGATATCTATATTTTTCCGCACATACAAAATATTCTCATAAATGTATTGACTTGCCAGAGTCAAAATATGTAATTCCTTAAATTTGCTTCGGACCGACTCCCGTGGGGACAACCCACAGATCGCTCTTATAGCCCGCTTTTGCACTACAAATATCGATTTAATGTCAGCTGCATTACCCCACAAAATAACACCATATGACATAATACTATGAAAATAGCTGAAATAAACAAGCTTTGCTGTGTTCTCATCCGTAAGATCGCGTATCTTTTTTACAGCGAACGCTGCGGAACTTAGCCTATTCGAAAGACCTTCTATGTGTCGGCCCCACTGGAGTTTACTACCTATCTAAAGTAATTCCCAAGAATACCGCACTATCAACAAAGTCTATTTCCTCGTCTTTAATTATTATTTGAGAATGACTACTTTTTACATTTGTAGTTACAAATTTAACACATTTTGTCTTCTTTTCGTTTAACTTAAGAATTAATAATTCTACATGTTTGATGGTATTCAAAAATCCTCTTGTTTAGTTTTCTATCGGAAATCCTTCCAATTCGAACATTCCTAATTGCTCTAAAGTACCTTCCCAGATTTAGAGTTCTGTTCACTTTAAAAGTGATGGATAATATATCCACATAGTGGGAATATGACAAAGTTCCACATTACCATGTTAAAGAGCTTATTTCTAGACGTAATTTGCCACCGTCATGCAGTGGTTCATTTAATGAGCACAAATTTACAGCCCAACGAAGCAAAAAGCTTTTGAAGAAATCACCTGACTTACCTACCTGTTAAAAACGGATTAGTGAGCAACTCTGTCTTCTATACTCAAAAGGGTAAAATCCTTACAAAATATAGAACCAAAAATGCACTAAAAATATTTAATAACAATGTAAGAAATATTGTTTCTATATTTGTATTGATTGATCTTGTTTTATCAAGGGAATTTAATGTATTAATCAACAATGAAATAACCCCGTATATCAAGATTGAATTAGGATATTTCCAGGAAGTCAATGAGTATCTAATGTACAAACAATCGTAAAC